TTATGGCACAACTGTAGAACATTCGACATTTTAGCTATAGGGACAACCATTTGCAAACGACAGCTGTCTCTTCGACCATTGTCCCATTTACGGCACAGGAATCCATCCTGAATCAGCAAGCTGTCCCATTGGGCCCAATAGCTTTTCGTGGTTGAACTCATCGCTGAGACGTCCCTCCACTTAGGCTTGGCAGCACGGGCCTTCATCCATCCCAGAATCGGCTTGATGTCCGGATCTTCCTGCTGTGCATGTCGTAGGTTGTCCTTCCACCCGTTGCTGAGGTGGTCTGTCCTGAGCATCCTCACGGATACCACCTCCTTATTCTCTTGCCTACTACAATGGTTGCAATCTTCAGGACAAGGTCTTCTTGACAATGCATCTGCGTTGCCGTGAGATTTTCCGCTGCAGTGTCTGATAGTAAAGTCGTATTCCTGCTGCTGCTGGGCGGTGCTGTTAGCCGCACTTCCTTTCTGAGACCGTTCACCTTCCCTTCGTAGGGTGTGCTCAGGGTAGCTGGACCGAAGATGGCCCCTTTCCCCACAGCCATAGCACCTAGGGCTGTATCTTTTATTGTGGTCGCGAACCGTAACTGCTGTAACCTCCCTAGCGTGAGGTGAACGATGATCCTGTCGCCGCCAGGCAGTGTCGTTAGCTGCACTACCCTCTCGAGATCGATCAACTCTCCTTTCCACGGTTCGCTTAGGGCAGCTGATTCGAAGATGGCCCTTTTCCCCACAGCCATAGCACCTTGGGCTGTATCCTTTGTTGCGGTCGCGAACTGTAGCTGCTGCAACCTCCCTGACGCGATGGGAACGATGATCCTGCCGCACGGCTTCCACTTCCAGTGCATGGGCCAAGGCGTCCTTAAGCGTCTCGTGGTGCCCGAGCCTCACAGCAGCTCTGACTTCCAGGTCGCGGATGCCGTCGATGAATGTCTGCACCAGGTTCCCTTCAATGAGCGCAGGTACAGACCGGTATGCTTTTCGCACCAGCTTCTCCACTTCTAGAGCCCACTGCTGCAGGTTTTCGTTGATGCGCTGCACACGATCTTTAAGCTGCGCACGAAAGACGTGTTCCAGGTGAGCGTCGCCATATCTCGCCTCCAATGCCTCAATGAGTTGCTCATAAGTCACTTCCTCACCGAGAGCTTCCAGAACTGTTAAGGCCTGGTCGCGCAGGCCTAGTGTGAGAGCAGTCATGGCCTGACTTTTATTCCAGCCGTTCGCCTTCATAACAGCCTCGAACTGAATTTTGTAGGCTGACCAGGAAGAAGTCCCGTCAAACGGTGGCACCTTGAACCCACGTAGCGAAGGTGCTGAAGCTACTACGGGAGCTGTGGTTCCATCCCCAAGTTTGAGTTCATCCAGCGTTTTCTTAACTTGGTTGATTTGGGTCTCAGCTTCCGACAGGCGGTTATCATGTTGAGCAACCTTATCCTTCACCTCCCTTATCTCTTTCCCGAAGGTAGCGTGAAGGTCCTTCATGAGAAGCATCTGTTCTTCCTGGCCGCCCCGCAGCTGCTCTTCCAACCGACGGACCTGTTCCTCCTGTCTGCGAGCCTGTTCCTCCTGTCAGCGAGCCTGTTCCTCCTGTCGGCGAGCCTGTTCCTCCTGTAGGCGAGCCTGTTCGTCCTGCTGCTCTTTCAACAGACGGGCCTGTTCCTCTCGTCCGCGCTGCAGCTGCTCCTTTAGCATCGCCATCAGAGCACCTAAGTCAGGTGCTGCAGGTGTAGGAGCTACTGACGGGCCCGCAGCCTCCGTGGCTGGCAGTTGGCCCTCCGACGTCTGCGGCGTTGCACCACCAAATCTCCTCTGGTCCGTCTCATGCTGGCGTTGACTGCGGGTACGGACACCCTCCGTTTCCTCTTTAGGTAAAATCGGCATTATTTTATCCCACTTCTGACACCAATTGTTACGAGCTTAGGGTTCGTGACAATAAAAATTGCCGATAAAATTACCTAAATTAACACTTTAATTTACTTTACACAAATTAAAACTTAAAACACTAATGATTAAACACACTAATTCACTTAATTCCGCTCCGAAGCTTCGTTTGTTTCGCCAAATCAACACTACTTCGATCGCATCTTGCAGCACCTACTTATATAAATTAGCAAAATATCCAGAATGTTCAAGTAAACACGCGCAAGGTACCGAGAGTTCGAGTTTTAAACTTCAAGAAGTTTAGTTCTTCGGTTCGAGACTAGATGGCGCTAGTGCGCCGATTTGAGGCATTGGAGCGCGTAACAATACCACTATCATTATCGCCTACATTATCGCCATAACGCTACAGCACAATTAACTGTTCTTAAAAATACACTTAAAATAGAATTTAAATAAATAAAAGAAAATACATTTTAAAAAGCGAGCAGAAGTTAAAACGCCTCTAAGATTATTCTCTTTTTATGAAATTATTAATCGAGTCGCTATCGATATTATGATTTTATGATAATTAAACAAGCAAATTACTAGCTGATTTACTATGAATTCTTTAGAGTATAACAAAATGCTACTGCACAATTTAACTGTTATTGTTATCTGTTTTATTTAAAATGGAATCATGTTATAATAATTAAACAAGTGAATTTTACCTGATTTACCATGAACTGTTAGAGCATAACAATACGCTACTCCACATTTTAACCGTACTTAAAAATACATTTAAAAAAAGAATTTAAATAAGTAAAAGAAAACATATTTTAAAAAAGCGTGTAGAACTTAAAGCGCCTCAAATATTTTTTTTTATTAAATTACTAATCGAATAAAAATCGATATCGTTTCATTGTATTTATGTTAGTTATGTGGCAACATCAAATCTGACAGCTAGGAATTGTGTCATGCGAATTGCAAATGAAAATGAAATCAGAATTCAACAAGTAAAATGGGACTAGAGAATTCACAACTTAATAGTCGCGATTGTGTTATTTTGTTTGTTATTTTTGAAATAAATTCTCAAGAACTCATATGGAGTGAGATTGTTGATCACATTATAGTGTGACAACAGTAAAAAAGTAAGTGTTCAACAGTTTTTAATTTATTAATTCTAGTGCTGATATTTGATAGATATGCAATGATGAAGTTGTTTTATTTTTTAACATATCGACACCTCGGGTCTCAAAGGGCGTATAGGACATTTTGGTCAAATAGAGTTAGTTACACCATTTTATTTAGTTTTTCATTCTCTATCGAACTACATACTCAAAGTAGCGAAATTCTCGAAAAAATGTTCTTTACTACACCAAATTTTGGGGCTTTTCGTGCAAATTTAACGTGAATTATGGCTGTAAATCACAAATTATTCATGATTACCTATCGTTTAGGTTGTATAAATTGAGTATACTTAAAGGTTAAGGATCTAAAGCACATAATGTTTAAAAATTGTTCTTTACAACCTTACTAGATTTCAAACGAAAACCATATTGTCCTTTACTACCTAACTACATTTTTAGAGAAACTAGAATTGTGCTTTACTACCTAGCAAATATGAAGATGTCTTATACGCCTTCTATCTAGCCTTCTATCTAGAAACTAAATTGACCTTTACCACTAGTAACAGTAAACAGATTGATGAAACGTCGAAATCAACTAGCTGCATTGGCTAATTATCATCGAAAAATGTTAAGGTAGTTGCGTATTGTTTGTACTGTCTTCGGAGTACTGTGCTATACGACCCATAAATTTAATTATAAATTTTCTCTAGTCTCAGTAGTTCAGTTGTTTGTCGGGTTTGGTCATACTAATTATTTTACGTACTGTTCTTTTTATATTTTCAAATCTTTTTTGTATTTTGGTATTATGCTGACAAAATTAAACGTTTACCAAATGGCATAAGTGTTTACTTTCCAGCATTTTTGCTGCAAAATACCGGTCCCGAACAACCGAACTATACACCTACCCAAATTTCTCATGCAAAGTAGAGTGCGAATCTCTAACTTATGGTATTGGCAATAAAGGTTAAATTTAAGTGACTTCTGTTTTGTCGCGCTTATTAGAATAGTTTTTCGACTTTCTGTAACACATAATTGCATAGTGTAGGTGTTGTCCTCGGAGTACTGTGCTATACGACCCACTTATAAATATTTTATTTCGCCTTTACCACCTACATATAATCCTGATATAAGTATTCGATACATTCATAGGTCTTTCTTTCGCCTTTACATTGTATTATACCTTGTATAGATTCCTAGTAAATTCTTTCTCAGGGCGAGAAATTCCCGAGAACTCTGGCAAAAAATGTTTTCTTGACTAATCACTATACTGCAGAGATGCTTCAGAAAGGTCCTGTAGAAATTACGGCGATACTTTCACTTATCATTGCATCCAACTTTTACTACGTGATGAACTCTGAATTGGCAAGAAACATAATTATCAGTTGTTCCAAATAGGACAGATGATTTTTTTTTCGGTATTTCAGGGTTTGTCCCATAATAAAATAATATGTATGTATTGATAAATAAAACCACTCCCTGAATTTCTACAGGACCTTTCAGAAGCACCCAGAACCTCTGTGGAGTAAACGCATGTTGTTTAAAAAATATTTTCCTTTTATTGACTAATTTTAGCTTCTATGTAATTTATTTCTAATTTATGTTATTTATTGAAAGTACTCGTTTCATTTTTTAGAACATGCACGCATGTACCAATTCCTGAAGTAAAACCGTTTCATCCCACAATGACTGATAACGTTACCGTTACCTAGTTTTCCTGATGAAGTAGGAGGTTCTCTAGTTGAGAGCCGAAGAAGTAACAAAACCGATGTAATAGAAGACAGCGAAGATGAAAACATTAGTCAAAGGGGGAATATACGTCATTTGATCATATCAAACTCAAGTGGCGAAGATAACATAGCTACTTCGACGATTACTTTTCCTCGCTCACATACTTATTTTGGAAATGAGCATCTAGTTTGATGCTCATCTAGTCCACTATCCACATATATAGATCCACTAAAAACAGATATCGGTATTAGTAACCCAAACAAAAAGATTCACATACTATCAGATGTTGTTATAAAAGATTCGAGAAATGCTGAAATATCAACCATTTCTGAAACCCGTAAGTACGACACGGTCGCTACCACTGACGTGGCCACATCTTGTACAGCAGCTGCACCATCTGATGCCAAAGAAATCTGTAAAGAAAATAGGGATGTAACTACTTACGGACCTCTTCAGCAGTCTCCAAACTCACCAGCAGCAGAACCATTTGGTGCCAAAGCTTCTGTTTCTGGAATCTGTAACGAAAACTTGGATGCTAATACTTACGGATCTCTTCAGCAGTCTCCAAACTCACAAGTAGCAGAACCATTTGGTTCCAAAGCTTCTGTTTCTGGAATCTGTAAAGAAAACTGGGATGCTACTACTTACGGATCTCTTCAGCAGTCTCCAAACTTACCAGCGGCAGAACCATTTGGTGCCAAAGCTTCTGTTTCTGTAAAGAAAACTCAGATGCTTTTACATACGGATATCTACTACAGTCTTCATGCAAACAAGCACCAGTACCATCTGATGCTAAAATAGCTATCTGTTATAATATACTATTATATAGTTAAAAACCCGCAAAGAAAACTCAAATTCTGATGTCAAAAATATTAGTTTATTTGAAGATCATACGGTTGAAACTACAATGGATGTTAAGGAAAACATATTCATTTATTGATAAAATATAAGCTTACAGTATATACAACTAAATCGCTTATATCTACACTAAATTCACAAAGTAAGATAATATACACAAGAAAAAAATCACCAATTATTAAATTTCCATACACAATATAAATTACAGCCACAACAGTATAATGAGATCTATTTACTATATCATAAATTAAACTAATTTACCTAAACATATACTATTCTACTATCTTACAAAGTTGTTTAAGAATATTAATACATTTTAATACATTGAGCTGGGTTTGTCAAAAAATATGTATATCTGCGTCTGGATTGGCCCTGAGAAAACAGTTTATTAGTCTAATGGCTCTGGAAGTGGGACTGTTATCTGCGTGTGGGGAGCGCCACGTACGCGGACAGGAGAGGAGTCTACGTTTTCGTCCACAACACCTCGTACATAATGGTCCGGTACATAAAGATGTATGGTTTCACGAACTGCAGGATTATCTACTTTGTTACTTAACAAGAAATAATAATGCATTATATGCATAAGTTCCCGCCTACACTGTAGGGTATCCAGATCAACCATGCCCGATACAAATGTTGACGGATATAGAAATGGGTAGTATCCATACTGGCGTTTATACAGATATCTGGCAAAATTACGTTGGATTTTTTCCACCATCATTGTAAACATGATTTCTCGGGGGGCCACACTGAGGCGTTATACTCTAGCTTACTTCGCACGTAGGCATTATACAGGAGTTTTATCACACGGACATTTTTAAACTGATGCGAAGTTCTAATTATGAAACCTAGACTTTTATTCGCTTCTTTGCACGGTTTAATAATATGTTCATGGAAATTCAATATACATGATTAGGACTAGATCGCGAATTGTATAGACACGTCCTAATGGAGTGCCTGCTAGCTGGTATGTCGTTGTGATTAGGTTGCGTGACCGAGAAAAAGTTAGAGTCTTACACTTTGAATTATTAAGGGGCAATTTGTTTTTTACACTCCATTCAACCACTGCGTCAATGTCGCGCTGTAATGCCATACAATCCTCAGCTCCGGTCACTGCATGGAAAAGTTTTATATCATCAGCGAACATTAAGCATTTTGAACATTAAGCGTTTTATGCTATACGCCCTTTAAGGCCCGAGGTATCGCTATGCACAAGCTATATCTGACAAACATAATAGCTTATTTATAACATGGTGTTAAGATTAGCTAGCTAACACCAGATAGTTAAAAAATTGACAATTTTTATCAAATACCTAGAAATGAGACAGTCGATTTTTAATTGTTTTTGGACTACTGGTAGTCAGTCAGACCTTAATTATTTAATAATATAGGGCATTAAGTTTTAAGTAACATTTACCTATATTTGAGTTTAAAGTAAACAAATCTATTTTATTTTGTTCACTTTGTCTTATTTTTTTTTATTTAATATAATTTGAGTTGCCATCGTCATCGCATGAGTGTCATGATTGCTGGCGAAGGACTGATAAAGCAGCATCACGTTAAACTTCAGAACGGGAACCATCTGACTCATCAAGTCCGTCCTCGTTGCAATCTAAAGTGAGTAATATATTGAACCTAGAACAACAAAGCTTAGATCATACATCGTACAATATACTGCTGCCTAATTTTGTAAGAGCACCATTCACACAAAATCAATGTTTTTTCCTGGTTGTAACAATTCCAATCAACTCACTGTTCCATCAGAATTGGGGGTATGTCCTTTTGCGAATACAATTACTATGTGCCTTCAGAATGTAGAATCAGTAACCACCATTTAAATAGTAACTCTCGGTATTTACTTTTAGAATCAATATATAACCATATTAAAACATTTAGTGTAGCACAAATTATAGATTTTTTATATTATTGTAAGAAAATATAGACTTTGAAAATATTCACAGTATGCCTGAACATGCCGCGTGCCATTGACTGGCGTGTCATGGAGGGGGTGGAGACCTACTCCGACCACCGGTACATCCGGTTTGACGTCTCCACCCAGCCCTCGAGCGCGCCAGTCCAACATGCCCCGAGTGGTCCGCGTTGGGCGCTGAAGCAGCTGGTCCGGAAGCTCCTCCTGGAAGCCTCGTTCGTGCAGGCCTGGGTGTCATCACCGGACAGGCCTGCCGACGTCAATGATGAGGCAGGGTGGTTCCAGGAGGCCATGTCCGAGATATGTGACGTGGCAATGCCCCGCGTCCGGCCAGGAAGCGCCCGGTGTCAGGTGTATTGGTGGTGGCGTGAGCTGACGTCTCTGCGCGAGGCGTGTGTCGCTGCGCGGCACCTGTACGCCAGGCATCGCAGGCTCCGCATTCGTCCACCGAATGCGGCAGCCATTGAGGCGGAGCTGTACGAGGGATACAGAGCGGCGAAGACCGCCCTCCGGGAGGCTGTCCTGCGGGCCCGGGATCGGGCCCGTGAGGAGATGCTGGAGACTCTCGACAGAGATCCGTGGGGGCGCCCTTACAAGATGGTGCGGGATAAACTCCACACCTGGGCCCCCCCGCTGACGCAGAGTCTCAGGCCCCAGCTCGTGGAGGACGTGGGGAGCGCTCTGTTCCCTGCGCGAGGGGAACATCCGCCCCCGCCTATGGCTCCGCCACCTGCGGTGCCGGAAGCGGACCACCAGGACGACGACGACGACATCCCGGAAGGGACCGGGGTAGACCTGAGAGTGGCGGTACGTAGGCTCAAGGCCAGGAATACCGCCCCAGGACCCGATGGCTTGCCTGGCAAAGCCTGGGTCTTGGCCTCGGAGGCTCTCGGGCCCCGACTGGAGGGGCTCCTAAGCGCACGCTTGGAGAGAGGCCAATTCCCGCTTCGTTGGAAGACGGGGAAGCTTGTCCTCATTCGGAAGCCGGGGCGCCCTGCGGACTATCCGTCCGCATACCGGCCCGTGGTGCTGCTCGACGAGGTGGGCAAGCTCTTTGAAAGAGTCATTGCAAACCGCCTCGCCGAGCACCTTGCGGGGACGGGACCGGATCTTGCGGAACACCAGTTTGGTTTCCGCAAGAGGCGCTCTACGGTGGACGCCATTATGCGCGTGAGAGCCCTCACGACGGGGGATGCAGTGGCCAGAGGGGGGGGTTGTCTTGGCGGTGTCTCTCGACATCGCCAACGCCTTCAACTCCATGCCCTGGAGCTGCATTAGGGAGGCAATCCGGTATCACCGGGTGCCGACCTATCTCCGTCGTATAGTCGGGGACTATCTGACGGACAGGGCCGTCATCTACCCCGGTCGCAACGGTGAGTGGAACCGGCGAGAGATGTCGTGCGGTGTCCCACAGAGTTTGGTTCTGGGGCCACCTCTGTGGAACATCGGTTATGACTGGGTGCTGCGCGCCGACCTCCCTACCGGCGTCAGCGTAGTTTGCTACGCTGACGACACGCTGGTACTGGCACAAGGGGGGTCGTACGAGGCGGCGGCGGAAACTATGACACACGGGGTTGCGATAGTCGTTGAGAGGATTCGGCAACTGGGTCTCCAGGTGGCTCTGCACAAGACCGAGGCCATGTACTTCCATGGTTCTCGGAACAGGCCACCACCGGGATCCTCAGTGATGGTAGGAGGGGTATCCATCGGCGTCGAGTCGACGCTGAAGTACCTAGGACTCGTCCTCGACGGCCGATGGAACTTCGTTGAGCACTTCCGACGTTTGGCTCCCAAACTTGAAAACTTCAGGCGGCTCCTGCCGAACCTGGGGGGGCCAAACGCCTCCTGCCGGAGACTCTACGCGGGGATCGTGCGGTCCATGGCCCTTTACGGGGCCCCAGTGTGGGCGCGTGGTTTGGCGCGGCTTGCCGTCCACCAACTGACCGCGCCCCAAAGGGTGGTTGCCGTGAAAATGGTTCGCGGCTACCGCACGATCTCCCGCGAGGCGGCGAGCCTCCTTGCCGGATTGCCGCCATGGGATCTGGAGGCGATAGTCCTCGCGCGCCTGCACGAATGGCGCGCGGAGGCACTATGCCGGGGGGAATCCCCGCTGCCGCGGGAAGTTGTCGCGCAGCGGACAGACTTCCGGCACGATCTCATGGCGACATGGAGAGAGCGACTGTCGCAACCCCCGTGCTGGGCACGCCACTATAGCGGCGATAAGACCCCTCTTTGAGGAGTGGCTTGAGAGACGCCACGGCATCCTCACCTTCCGCCTGACGCAGGTCCTCACCGGACACGGTGTGTTCGGGAGGCTCCTGCACCGAATCGGGCGGGAGGAAACGCCCAGGTGCTCCCACTGCGAGGATGAACCGGAGGACACGGTGGAACACACCGTGGAGGTGTGCCCTACTTGGGCGGAGCACCGCCGTGTCCTCGTAGCGGCGATAGGCGTCGGCGACCTCTCGCGTCCGGCCCTGGTCGAAGCCATGGTCTGGAGCGATACGGAATGGGATACCGTCACCACCTTCTGCGAAGCAGTGATGCTAGCGAAGGAGGTGGCGGAGCGGGAGAAGGAGAGAGCAGCAGCTTTCCTCCCCGGCCGCCGCGGGAGACGGCCCGGGCGTCGGGGGCTACGTCGTGGCCCGCGGCCACCTACCCATTGCTCGCCGTCCGTCCGTCTAACGACGACAGGCCGTGTCGACGGCGCGTTTTGTTCCACGCGCGGCTCCGGAATGTAAGGGCACTGAAGGAACACGGATGGTTTTTAGTCAGTAAAAGTCTGACACTCCCTTACGCTCCACCCAGAGCGAAAGGTATCATTAGACGATTTTCCATCCGCAAAAAAAAATGCCTGAACATACTGTACATTATTATCTAGGCTTATCAAAGGCACAATAGCAACAAATTCTGTCTGAAGTTCCCAAAATGATGTTTTGCACTTGCTGTGTATTTGATTAAAAGTAAGAACAGGAGATAGTGATGAATGCATATAGGCATTATTGCAAGTACC